GGTAGTTGACGCCAATGTACTCTTTTCGTTGCGACTTTTTTCCAACGCACTCAACTTGTCAGTTGAAACAGCCGCAAATCTTTCGTTGGTTTTGTAGTCTGTGTCCATGTCCAACCATTCATCAATACTGATGCCCCCCAACAAATCAAAATTAACTTTCAAATCTGACATTTTGTAGCTACCGATTTCCAACGAGAGACAATGTATAACAGTGTAACGGCTGTGTGTCGCTAAACGTCGCTATGGAAACCACACGATGTAGGCTCATGGAAGTAGTTTCGGTAGGCTAGTGGCGTGTGTAGGCCACTGGATACTTTGTGATTAGGCACGTTCTATTTGATCGTTGTTTGATCGTGGAATCAAACACGCCTATTGACCAATCAGAGAGCTTGCTCAAAACTATGTGTTATAGAATATGTATTCATGCACTATTGGAGCTACAATTAATAGAAAACAAATACCAAATCGCATAAAAAACATTTAGCCGTATGAGCCGTTTTTATTTATTACAGCAAGTTGAGGTAGCAGTTTTTGTCTGATTGTCAAATTGCCTAATTTTACCTTTCTTTTGGTAATTATTTTGCTCTTTGCCAATGTGAACAGGCTGTGTGTGCATTTTTAAACTTCTGTAGTCTTAGAAATATAATTTGAATGATGTAAGAAGTATTAAAACATTGCATCTTAACAAAGCGTACCTATTAATAAAATGAGATGCTAAATATTAAATATAAAATGTATCATATATTACAAATATATATGTTGAACTATGAATCCTATAGTAAAAATAAAAAGTCTAAATGAATGACTGACTATGACTTAACCACCATTTCTCTCTCCTGCCAGCAAGAAGAGTGGCAAGGTCACGACGGGCTACAAGTGCGACCACGTCAACCTCGGCTGCGACGTCAACTACGACATCAACGGGACAGCGGTCCACGGTGCAGCGGTGGTCGGGTATGAAGGATGGCTGGCCGGATACCAGATGACCTTTGAGGCCGGCAGGAACAAGATCACCCAGAGCAACTTCGCTGTCGGATTCAAGACGGACGAGTTCCAGCTGCACACGAATGTGTAAGAAAATAGAGGCAGCAGATCGTCTTTAGTTTGATTCCATACAGAATACTTTTTTAATGTACTGGTAAACCAATGTGGATATACCATACTTTATTATCATCTTATATCATTTGGTGTAGTTCATGCTCATTTCAATTTGCCTTACTAAAACCACTTTTTCACACACTGTTGGCCCTCTTGCTTGCAGCTAGCACCTATGTTAACGGATCAATCTAACAGCAATGTAGTTAACATTTATTTAAACACTTGTTTTGTTGATATTGTTAGAGAATTTGTACTTTTTAGGTCCATGACACCATAAAATGAGGTGCCAGACATGCATAGCTTTTGTTAACTAGTTCTCGGTGGGCTCGCTAACTTGTTGCTGGCTATGTGCCGGGTAACTGACTATTTTTATACCCAGGTGATGGGATTTACTATATTACATGTGAAGCAGAGTGAAAGGCTGGCAGGCAGAAAGGGCCTCAGTGAAGAGGCAGAGCGAGGTTGTGTCTGATAGTGACAGATACAGGGCACACTGTTAGTTTTGTTTCCTGCTGTGTCCAAGCCTGTTCAGTCTACAGCTGAAGTGATTATGTGGGGTCAGATAGAGTATAATGTAGGATTTACATCAGAGACGTCGAGCCCACCTCATGAGCTCTTTAACAAACATGGAACAACCAAGCAAGGAATTCTACTTTCAGAGAAAGAAAAACAAACAAACTCATAATTCATCCCTTTTTAAAGAGAAGAACATCATTGTTGGGGAAACATGATTTGTTTTGCTGCAACATTTATATATATTTTTTAATCTGCTATTCTTCCACAGAAATGATGGAACTGAGTTTGGTGGTTCCATCTACCAGAAGGTGAATGACCAGCTGGAGACAGCCGTCAACCTGGCCTGGACCGCCGGAAACAGCAACACCCGCTTTGGCATCGCTGCCAAGTATCAGATCGACTCTGATGCATCCTTCTCTGTGAGTCCAGTGTAACCTGGAGTAGAAGTTGTGCTAGTGCTAATCGTCTGCTGTAGGATAACAATGTCACTTAATCCTAATCCCATTAGAAATGGCTGTTTTATTTTACTCGTCCTTCACAAGGAATTTGCTTCGATTTAAGACATTCTGAGTCCCTACAATATAAACCCTTAATAGTCATAATGTTTCCCCCTCAAATAAGGGTCCAATTATTTGCTCAGGCTCTTCCTAGTTGACCAATTTGGAAGGATGGAATGCAAATGTAATCCCGTATGCAACCAAGCCAATTAGTGTGAATGCTTGTTTGTGTATATATTAAAACACCTTGTGTTAGCATAATGGTGAAGCAGCAAACTTTTGAAGGTATCACTTATTATTTACAATATATATTTTTCTAAACTGCTTGCCGGATTTAGCCAGCATTGATCTGTTAGTAATAATCTGTTTCCCGCACAGGCTAAAGTGAACAACTCCAGCCTCGTGGGCCTGGGCTACACCCAGACTCTGAAGCCAGGTGAGTGCAAATTGTGTATTATTTAGGTTTAAGTTCATGTTTCATCATTTACTCAATCATGAGAACACTGTGTAGCAAAAGATACCACGTAATTAAAAAAATAGATTAAAATCAAAATCTGTGCATTAAAGATTTCTGTGTGGATTATTCCATGTGTAGCTGCATTTTGGACATACACAAACTACACAATGATCAGATTAGGACTTCCTAGCAAATACTTTGTGGCATTTCTTGATTAGCAAACTTAAAAATACTAAAGAATGTGTAATATTGCTCATATTATTTTGTTATTCTAAAAACACATCAGTTGGAAGAGTTTTGCACAATATTAAATCAAACCGAACTACACTTTCATAATGGTAACAACACTACAGTGGAGGAATACGTAGCAATAGGTGGTTTATCCTTGTGTGTTTTTCTTTCTGCAGGCATCAAGCTGACACTCTCTGCTCTCCTTGACGGCAAGAACATCAACGCCGGTGGACACAAGCTTGGTCTCGGTCTCGAGTTCCAGGCATAGGAGGATGAAGCAGGCGACCTTGAAGTCCTCCCAGCACACACACGCGTTCCCCACCAAATAAATAAATATTTCCAAATCCTGTATTGATTACCTAGCCTTCACAAAAACCCATGTGTCCCCTAGGCATGTTACAGCTGGAGCCAACAAAAAAAGCATAAAGGTCAAATTGTTCCTATAACGATCTATCACTTTTAAAGTAACCACTTAAAGGGAACAGTATATTTTGAAATAAAGAGCTGATTTCAGAACAAAACTACAACCATTTAACGGACACTTTTATCATGAATTGTGTTGTTTCCAAGGGGAAAGTAGCGTCGAGATCAGTCATGAGGATTTCACTTTATGTCTTTCACTACATTCTTTCACAATGCTTTAAGTTGTGTGTCTCTGATTTCCAATGCAGATCTAATGGAAAGGGCAGTTGAGTAGCTACCCCACCTGATGGTGTCGTTGCATAGCACCATTAACACTCCTCGCTCAAATGTTGTTGTGGTGAAATAACTGTTAAGCTTCCACACTTCTGCACTGGAGAGCTCTGATGTCTTTGTTAATATAATATAAAATGGGATGGGTTAGTTGTCCTTGATGTAAGCAGCTGTGATTAGCTCTAAGAGACACTACACCCCAATATGGACATTCTGTGTTTTCATCTCACTTGTTTTTTGTGTCTGTGCATTTGGTGTGAAACATGTCTTTTGTTACATATAGTAAAGAGAATATTATTTTATTGACAGTCTTGCATAGTTTATTCCACCTGTTAAGTCTTAAGAAGGCAAAGACCTGTCAATTCTTCCTGGTTAGGGAAAGGAGGGAAACCAGTTACACTTCTCTGAGGGAGGAAGAAAGTAATAAATACAGTGCAGGAAGTTGTAGTCTTCCACAACTGGTTATGGGAATCATGCTTAGAGAAATTGACTGTATTGTCATTCCCTGAAATAAATAAAGAACATCTTGAACTGGATTGTGTTTGTTATTTTGCATTCTGTCAAGTTATGACCAACATGATGTGATGACTCATTCCGATACCAGGTTTATTTCTATGCTTTTGGAAAAATTAACTGGCAAATATAAAAAGTGTTTTGAAACTGCAGATTACTGTTTGTATGAACTGGGATCACAAGGATTAGTTTGAATTCTTTCTACAGTGGCAACTGTCACAAATTATTGTTATTGATTGATAACGTCTAATCTTTGTAGGGCGTCAGAGGAGGAAAAAATACTTAGATATTATAGTAAAAGTAGAAATACCAAAGTGTAGGAATAATTTTACAAGTAAAATTCCCGCAATCAGAAGTACAAACGTATCCGCTTCAATGTACCTACAGTTCTTAAAGTAAAAGTACTCATTACGTAGATTGGCCCATTTCCGAATAATATCGTATCTTTTGATTATAATTATTGATGCAATAAAGTGTAGCCTAATCAATGTTGTAAAGATGCAGCTAATTTTTACTTCTGTGTATGCTGCAGGATAGCTTGGGAATGTTACTCCAGGTGTAACTAAAGTTTTATTTAGTGTTGATTATATTTCATATTTCACTTCATTATTCCAAATCTGAATAAATAATAATTGTAGTGGAGTTTAAGTACAGGATTTGCATCTGAATTGTAGTGCGGGAGAAGTACAACGTAGCAAAACATGTAAGTACTCAAGTTAAGTAGCCTACAAGTATCTCAAAACTGTAGGCTACTTCGCTACAGTACATGAGTAGATCTACCTGGTTACTTTACACCTGCTGGTGAATATTTGATCACGGCATTAGCTGATATGAAGACTCCACGATTTAATTTAATCGAATTACTTTATAATTTTTTGACATGATCAAGGATAAACACTGAGGCCATGACAGCTGATTATAAACATCAAGAAAACAGAACAAAATCACTCTCTCCCTGTCTAACATCCCGCATCATGTGGCCATGCTAACCCCTCCTCCAGTTACTCACACATCAACATGGCGACGTGCAGAACGATGGGGCGAAGCAGGGGAAATATTTGTGCTCTTTCTCTGGTTATTTTCCTTCAGCTGTTAGTCAGTGGCTGCCTGTCAGCTCCGGTAAACAACAGCAACACGGCGATAGGTATGTTACACTTGTTTGAAGTTCTTGATAAGATGAATGCTTTGTTTTAAAGCCGACCAACAGTGCTGCTAGTTAGCTAGCCACTGTCAACGTTACTGTAGCTAGTTTGCTAGTGCGTCATGCTAGCAACTATGCTGTCAAGTGAGAGGGACGATGACAGGCTTTCTGTATGTCCCGGAAAAGTCTTAAAACAGTATTTTTTTTCAATTCGAGTCCTTGTTAAAGGATTACAGTTCTGTTCAATAACTATTTCGATAATAATAAGTTGTTTAAGGTTTTAAATGTGACTCCTTCGATTGAAAATACGTTGTAACGTTCTGACGTCAATTTCAAAAGGTTGATAATTGTTTATTCGTTTAAGACGATGTGAAATGTGCATTAAGCTTTCTTATTTGGACTTAATAATGTTTTACTAAGTTCATGAATCCTACAGAAACGTTACGGCCATAACAAACAAGTCATAACCAGAAAGAGGAAGCCATGATTAAATAACCAAACTTCCAGCTCGACAACATCACAAGCAACAATTCCTACCCTGTGCTCAAAGCAACTAATTAGATGTACTCAAGTACTGTACTTAAGAACACATTGTATTATAGCTATTTGTACTTTACCTGAGTACTTCAATTGTTTACTACTCAGTACTTCTACTCCACTACAATTCAAGGGTAAATAGTGTACTTTTACTCCACTGCATTTATATAATATATTTATTTAGTTACTTTGCACATTTGTATACATGCTGTTAAATATAATTAACACATACATCAGACTTTAGTTACACCTGGAGTAAATCCACAAGCTACCCTGCAGTATACAAAGTCATTAAAACTAGCTGCACCGTTAACATCTTTGATAACTCTTTAATGTTCAATAATTATAATCAAAACATATCAAATATATTATTCTGAAGTGGGCCAATCTGCATTACGAGTACTTTTACTTTTGGTACTTAAAGTTTATTTTGAGGCTGATACTTGAGTAACATTAGGACTTTCACTTGTAACAGATCATTCCTACACTTTAGTACTTCTACTTTTACTTAAGCACAATATCTGAGCACTTCTTCCACCCCATATTGTAGGTAAAGGTTATATTTGTGGTGGCCTGCAGGGACACCTCTTAAGCACTTGTGATTTGTTAGTGGGTCCAGATGTCCTTTTCATATATCTGCGCTGTTAAGTAACCCCTGTCACTCCATTACCACCACAGCTTATTAAACAACCCCTTTGAAGTCTACCATCAAGGAACTGGGACCATAGTAAAGGCTGTTAAATGTCTCAGGCCCTGTCATGCATTAATGAACTTTGACCAGGGCTACTACTGGCTTACATTTGTTGAGATAAAATCAGTGGTGCTGAATCGCTGCCCTGTGTTCTCTATTCTTTTCAAATGAAGTGCTATGGATGTGTTTATCCACATACACCTTAAGTATGTGATAGGCAAGTCATGCATTGATTGGTAATAGATTTGTTCAGCAAGTCTTGTGATCTGACATTACTAATGGAACTATTTCCCATGAGACCATTACTTGAACAGCCACAAGCTGCTAAATACTGTTTTAGTTGAAATACAAGCAACATTTATAGACTAAAGTTAACGGCTGTATTCATTTTGAGCAACATCCATGTTCCAAGAGTGCAGCTTTAAGCAAGACTGGAGGAAAATAACCCATTACTTGTCAATAAGAATTTGTATTTAAGGACATTTAACTTAAATATGAAGGCATTTTGTCGAGTGTGACTCAAGCGGCTCAAGGCTGCCTCTCCTACATGCTGTTTGATGCAGCACGGCCTATAACTTTTACCTTCACAAAGATCTCCTGTTCAGTGATTATTTATGCTGGCTATTGCCCATGTGTATGAATAGTCCCTTTCTTCTCCTGGGAACGTCTTACCCAGTGCTTCAAGTCCTCCAGTGTTTTCCTCCCGTCCCTTCCTAGGCAACACCTCCTATTCCCACAGGATTAAATAATGTTGACACTTGTTGGTAAAACAGCGTCATTGATTTGGGGAAAGCTGGCACGATGCATGTCTGAGTTCAGCTCACACGTAGTAGAAACGGTAGTTGATAGATTCTTGAAAATGAAAGTACATAATTTTTTTATGATGAAACAGAAATGTCGTGTCTGCTGTTACACTGCAGTCTTAATAAACTAGTTAAACAGGTACTCCAACTACTCCTGATTTTCTGAGGCAGCACAAGGGTCACTGAGTATCAGAACAAGCTCCTTTTCACAGCCATAGCTGCCGGTGGTGTTGGCACACGGTGCAGTTTTATGGCATTAGTCATGTCTGTATTTGCATTAATTCTATTTTTAGAACTCTATGAAAGACCTTACTGTTATTGATTGATTGATTGATTGATTGATTGATTGAGAGTGTGGTTGTCAGCAACTTTAGATTAAGTTGTATTTCTTCAAATGGGTTAGAACTGAGAACTCATATTCATTTTGGACTCATTGGCTTAATAATTAATTGAACTTTATAGAGAACCCGTCCTTCATTCAAAATAAATATTTATTCGACTATGCAAACTAGAGCTGTAACGGTTCTCAGTCTGTTCTAGTTAATGTTCTATTGCTTTTAAGGAGAATGTAACTGACCTTTTTTTCTTGCATTGTTATTCCTTTGTTTCTAGCATCAACACAAAATGCGTCTCCAAGTATTATCACTGTGGACAAGAAAGTAAATGACACTGTGCCTCCGCCATCTCAACCGAGTGTAGTGGCTGCCACAGAATCAAAGAAGCCTTCAACACCCGCTGGCAATGACTCCACAACAGCAGCAGCAGCAGCAGCAACGGCCCCTAAAAACAGCTCAGCAGCAGCAGCAGCAGCAGTAGCAGCAGCAGCAGCAGCAGCAGCAGCAACGGCCCCTAAAAACAGCTCCACAGCAGCAGCAGCAACAGCAGCAGCAGCGGCCCCTAAAAGCAGCTCCACAGCAGCAGCAGCAGCAGCAGCCCCTAAAAGCAGCTCCACAGCAGCCATTAGACCAATAGTCACGGGGAAGGACCATGAGGAAACCACTCCAGATTCAGTCACCATTATTGAAACCTCTGACAATCCTCTGATGCCAGAACCTGTCGACCCAGTAATAGGTGAAGTTGCAAACAACAAAAACCAGTCAACAGACAAACCTGCTGTTGCTGAAACTACCACAACTGCTATTCCCAAAGTACCCACCACTGCCCGTGTCATAACCCCTGAATCATCCAATCCTTTTACGGAAAAGGAAGCTCCGTTTTACGACTACAAATCCTCCATCGCTGTGAACCCGTCCACAGAGCAGGAACCTGATCTAGACCTGCAGCCGACCACTGACGGAGGACCCGCACGCCACATCGATCTGGATAATTACCCCGAGGAGGAAGACGAGGACGATGACGCCACCTACAACGACGTTTATGAAAACAACAGCATGAATATGGCCAAAGGGGAGCCGGCGAGCAGGCTGCAGCCCGAGGACATGGAGGTGACGCGCTACAAGGGAGCAGACAGCTACAACACCGAGGACGAGGACTCCCACTTCTTCTTTCATCTGGTCATCCTGGCTTTCCTGGTGGCCATTGTCTACATCACTTATCACAACAAGAGGAAGGTGAGTGTTGACATGACAACAGCCGGCCACTCTTCTAGGTGTAGAGGCCAGAAGTGATGCTGCTGACATGCGTATTGTTTGAACAGAGCTGATATTACTTTATCCTCTGTAAGTTCCAAAGGTGATATTGTACCATAGCAGCTTGTCAAATCTAAGGTTTAGCTGTTTTTTTTAATTTTTCAAACGTAATTGTTTTTGAATACTTTGAAGCAGTCTTGAAGCGTGAGAGTGTTGGGACTTTGCTCTGTGCACTAGACACTTTTCACAACTTATATTTGGGCATATTATAGTCTAAACACTTTATTAATTGAAAAAAAAAAACAGTAGTTTGATTAAAAAAACATCAAAGTGCTTTGTTTGGAGTTTATTTATTTAAAATTGTAATGCATGACAATCATTTCTTATTTTCCTTTCATGATAACACATTGTTTGAGCAACTGCACCACCTCACATAATAAAATAAATGCTTTTCAATGTAACAAAAGCAACCAGATATCTTCAGCTGAGACAAGTTTGATATTCTATATTATGCTGGCCTCATGTACTTAGAGTTCAACAGCTGAATTAAAGATCCTCATTATGCAGTCTCTCGTCCGTCCTGCTCGCCTTTTAACCAAGAAAACCCTTCAGTTGATCAGCCCTACGTCGATCAGATTAACTTGATTTCCTTGTTCATTCGTTCTCCCTTTCTCCCGTTGTCAGATCTACCTCCTGGCTCAGAGCCGGCGCTGGAAGGACGGTCTGTGTTCCCGCAACACGGTGGAGTATCACCGCCTGGACCAGAACGTCAACGAGGCCATGCCGTCCCTCAAGATGACCCGGGACTACGTGTTCTGATCCAGGTTCATGAGAACAGTTTGTTGAGAGCAGCACAGAGCCAGTTGGCCTTCCTGCCTGTCCGGCCGCGATGATGAGATCCCGTTGTCATGGAGATTGAGCGATGCTTTCTGTTGCTTTACAGGCCAACTGGAGAGCACTGTGTCGTTGGGATAGATTATGTTTGTTTGGAACTTTTCTGTTGTCAGCATAGAGATATTTTCACTGTTTATCTTTTATTATTATTTGATGCATTATTATTTGTAATTCTCTTCTTAATTATGGCTTTTTGGGATTTGCTATTTTGGGTTTTTAGGTGTTTTAGTTGTCTTTTTTGGGAGTTTTTCAGCCCCTCTACACCTGTTTTTGTTTTCCTTCTTGCATACTGTCTTAATATGTTTAATACTCACTTGCATTCATTAACAGTTGATTATTTACCCCAAAGATTAATTAGGGATTTCTCTATTAGCAGTTAGCCACAATATCAATCTAGGAGAAATGCATAAAACACAGTCCTTCCAACATCTTACTGTAAGAACGTTACTGTAAACTATTAAGGAACAATGAAAACAAATTGTGTATCATGTAGAAGGAGTTTGATTATTATTTTATAAAGAAATCATACATTCACTGAGATTTAAAATATAGTACACACTTATTTTCAACTGTTTAACCATCAGCTATTTCCTGTTGCACCTTTGCAAAAAAAATCCATAATAGCCTTTTCATTTTGATTTCACATTATATATGGGACGTAACATCTCTAGTACATGTTGGGACATTACGCTGCACATTAGGGAGGATGACTCTTCACGGGGGGGGGGACTTTCCATCTGCTTAAGCCATTTAATGAAGACGGATGGGGAATATTGTTAAAATGGCTAGAATGTTCTCATCTCAAGTTTTTCCTTGTTCATCAATTTATATTTGACTTGTCTACGGTATCTCTTCTACTGCCCAGATTTCGCTATGCATAAACCCTCGGGCTGGCCCCCTTTGTTTTATGACTTCGGTGAAGTCTCTATAAATCATTCATGGTCTTCATCGTGGCAAAATATAACGGCCGTGTTTCCTCATGCTCACACAGAACTTTTCCTTTTCAGTTACTTCCTGTCAGAGTACCGTTTGCTGCGCTCGCTGCTATTTCTGTTCGCCAGATCTGCGTGGCTTGATGTTCACATGATTAAAAAATCACAACAAAAAAAAAGACCGTAACTTTATTTCTTATTCTTCACAGCCACATGTTTTTCTGACTGTTGCCGTCTCATGCCTTTAATTCATTGCCATAACTGCCACATGCATCCACATTGTTGTTTTAAAGCTCTTGTTACTTTTGCCACTTTTCAGAGGTCAGTTTGTATTTAAAGGTTCAGAATGGTTATAATTGTAATGTGATTTGCACTTTGCCGTTCAGTCATGAGCTCAAACAGGAGGAGGGGGGAGGGGTTTCCTGCGTAAAGGGGATGCATCAACACTGCTCTTGCAATCAACAGTAGAAATGTAAAATCTCTTTTTTTGTCAATAAAGCACAAATTGTGTAGAGTCCTCTCTGTCTTTAACTTGTGATTGTTGATTTCATGATCGACCTCATGTGATTAATCTAAAACACAGATTAAAAGAGTATTTCAATCATAGAGCATTCTGTTATCTTGCTCTTTGTTCAGTGCATGTCCTATTAAGTCAACACATCACTAACTAGAGAATCACTTTGATCTCATATAATCGTAATAAGCTCAGAAGTTGTGTACTCTTTTTTTACTCGGACAATAACAGTCCAAGATCCGAATGTATGGTTGAAAGCTATGATATACAGTATGTATTCATAGGCTTAAAGCTGAGAGGGTGTTCAGATTATAAAATAGGAACATATACATTAGCATAAATTGAAGTGTATTTGATCTGCATGAGGTTATAAAATCTACATAGCATTTAATTTATATCTTTAAAAAATAATGTAAATAGAAAGCAGGTACTAAAGCCCTAATATATAAACACGATAAGAATACAACATTTTAAATTACAGCTTTTCCCCTGATTTTACTAGTGGGAAAACACACTATACTAATGGTTGTATTCCAGTGTTCCTGTGAGAGTGGAAGTGACCCAGCATGCAGAATACCAGGAAACAAAGCAACTAAAAGGAATCATTAATTTCATTATTTCTTGTTCTTTCGTTATCAAAATGTCCTCTGTGAAAAGGCTTAGAGCTGTATCAGGGTAATAAGTAACTTTACCACAAGGAGGCAGTACACACACACAAATATCTGATCTGAAAAACCTGTACTGTATTTCATGGTCACATTTTCTACTGTGTCTTTCAACCCAGTAAAAGATGGTGGTGTGTTACCTTGCACTGTGTAAGAGACTACAAAGCGAGTGTGTACTGTATGTGTGTGTATCTAACTCTACATCGACATTTTTACCTGAGCAAATAAGAATGTCATTTTGCATTTGGTTTTCCGCTCTATTCCCTCTCTGTGTGACATCCACACATCAGCATAATAAAGGGAATTTGAGCTGAAAAACCCTCAACACTTTTATGCTTTTTTTAAAGGTGTGTGATGGTAGCCATATGTGCCAAGATAACCCAGAATCCCTCAGTAACACCAAAGGGAGAACAAATGAGCCAGCGTGTGAATCTTTAATGTCACACAACACTACTGGGATGGATTTTAAGGACAGCAAAAGAGCAAAAAAGTTTATTTCGGAATCTCTGCCTTTAAAGTTTGTAAACGGAGTGACGAGACGGATGGAAGCAGAGTGAGAGAGAGAGAGAGAGAGAGAGAGAGAGAGAGAGAGAGAGAGACAGAGCCAGTTTGACATGTTTGACTAGCCAATTGTCCGCTTTGACAGGCCGTACTATAAACCGCAGCGTGACAGAATTCAACAAGTTCAAACTTACTTTATTATCATTAACTTTTGTTAAAATTAGTCTTTAATTTCTTAAAAGTATTTTCCACAAACAATGTTATCTCCCAGAAGTCATTCTGTCAAAGACATTTTTTTCAAAGGCGTGATAATCTTATTTTGGAATTAAATTATTTAAAAGGGAATAAAGCAAGGGAATATTTCAAAAGGATACAATATATGATTCCTACAGAGCCTGCTTTTGCAATAATATTTGGCAGAAAATGTAATAAAAAGTTGTCATTATTCACTTAAAAAACAAAATAAATCCTTCATTCTTTTGCAGCTTGAAAAATGTTGATGTTGTGTAAAAACTGCACTGAACACTTATTTATTTTATTATCTTGGTGTGAAGACATGAACTGAAATCGGTTGTGCACATGATTTTGAAATGGCATCTCTATTTTCTGTAGGTTTAATATGAATGTGGGTGAAAGATTTGACCTTTTCTGTGTCAAAACATGCTTTTTTTCAAGTCTCTAACTCCATTTATCTACCCTGTTTCAGATTGAAGAGCAAGAGGTGATGTCTGCTTGGTGCGTGTCATCAGCAGATAAGATAATCACGCTGTGTTGATATTTGTACAAAGATATGCCAGGCGAAACTATCTGAGAGACAGCAGCAAATGAAATCTACCAGCTGGAAAATCTCACAACTACTTTTGATCAGTGAAGGGTGAAAGTCTTGACAATAGTTTTTTGGTAGCATTTAAAAAAGGTTTTCTTTAACTTTCATAAAACATTTTTCAAGGGATCAACATTCTTTAGAGGTTTAGGGCATCTTAATGTATAATCTCTCTCAAAATGTGTGGAAATAGGCTGTAATGAAATTAGAAAAGCTCAAAAATTGTCTAAAATCAACCAAAATGACCCCCATGCACCCTTCATCCATATGACAGAAATTCAGAATTCTTAATTGTGTCGTAGTTGATGGCCTTTAAAAATAAAAAGACAGAAAACAACACATTTTCGTTTTGTGATTCAATTATTATTATGTTCTTGTCTAATGTGGAGGAGATAGTTAAATAAAGATGAATCCTGAAAATCATCCCAAATGACTGGGTGCTACACCTCAGCCTTTGATTGGACATATAGTAAAGATATCTTGCTTCGTTACGACATCAATGCTCACAATTTATAACTATAGTTACAGCTTTATTGTCTGAATGTTTTTTCTCCAGCAAAAGACAGATCAATAACATCTTCCCATGGAAACCAGGCAAACGCTGGCATTGCAATCAAACAACCTTGAAACCGCCAGATTTATGGCAATAATTCCCACAGCTGGAATACATTTTTGAACAATCGGATCGCTTGTGTAAAACTATCAATCAATGGCAATCCTGATGGATATTGCCCTTCCTGCCGTCTCTGTAATAATTTCTGTACTTTCAGCATCTGCTGGATTAGGTCTACTCGCTTTTTCAAAAACCCGATTCCAGCAGGTATGCTTTTTACAATATATTGAATTTCAATAAACCTGAGGGTAAGGCAGATAAAATAGTTGATCAAAGCACACGAGGTAGTGATCGGGTCATGTGGCCTGGCATATTAGCTTCCTCATCAGTGGGAGAGATCAACTGGAGGACTCACACTGACAAGTCCGGCTCCATTAAAGGTTTTGGTAATGTTGGACTTCAACCCTCAGCAGATACTGTGTACGTGTCTGGTTTTTAAGATACTCTTGGGTACTAAAAAGGTAGCATTCAAAGTAATGGACATACAAAGTCAATCCAGCAACTGGAAACCAATAAAAAGGTTCATTGTAATTGTTCTCACCTATGGTGCTCTTACAAAATAACTTTTATGGTGCAAAAGGAAGAAGTATAATAATTGCGCTCATGGGGACTCTGGGAAATTCTTTTTTAAGGAAGCAAAGTAAATGAGTATTTTCACATCAACCAGATAACTTTCATTTAAGGCCTTTCAGAAAAAAATAAAATAGAATATGTTAATTCTAAATAGCCATAGGATTATTTTGCCTGTGCAGTAAGAACATAACTTTCTCATCATTATGATGAAGAATGTTGATTCCCTTAATAATCATTTAAATGGTAACCTTCTTGAGCGTTGAAAAGATTCTGGCTATTTAATTAAAATAGGATGGCTGTTGAATGGAAGGTTTGTTCAATATATCGAGTGCAAAAATCATAGTAGAGAGTTCCGGCACATTTTCGCATTATGTGCAGTTGATAAATGACATAGGGATAGGATAGGAAGAAACGTTTGACCAATTAGGTTTTTTCGGGGCATCAGCACCTAGACTGTCAATCATGTACAGAACACTCCCCTCCAAAGTTGATAAAGCCCCGCCCCTCAGGCCTGTCACTTCCTTTTTTCCCTCCAAACACTGAAGGCAGAACAAGAAGAGAAAACAGGTGAGTTTAACACTACTTTATCTGATTGTTTTGTTTACTTAGTTCTAGTTTTATGTTGTGTGAAGAAAAAGGGTGAAATTACATATTGTGGATGCATCACTATTAAAAGTAAAACAATATGATTATCCTTTGATATAAATCTATAATATTTTCTTAATAATCTGTTGTATAGAAAATATCATCCACATTTCCATCCACCTCCAACTGTTTTGATCACTTTTGTGCAATGAACTCGTCTTTGGGTTTGGATTCAGTGTTTGAATGTGCACACATGGGATGTAAAGCCATTTTCAGCTAAAGGCTTTTCACTATATACCCTCTTGGGATGTCTCAATGCCTTATAAATGGCAGGATGAAAAGTAGTAAATCCAGAGCAGAGTATTTCTTTTTTTTGGTGGCACAGAGAGTGAAAACACAGCATGAGGTTAACAATGGGATTTTAGGCCACAGACCTTTTTGTAAAGGCAAAACAACAGAGGCTTTAGGATTTTCTTTCTTGGATGAACTGGGATTCTTTCAAGCTTTCATACATTTGGAAGCATTTCAGGCTGCACTTCATGGAAAATACAAACTAGTGACTTTGTCGTTCTTTACCTTTGTGAACCAGAAGAGGGCCTGGATTACTCTTCCAGCTTTCTTTATGTTTAATTTCCTGTGTGTGTGTGTGTGTGTGTGTGTGTGTGTGTTTTATGGCCCAGTCTCCCAGGAACTGCACATAATGTCCACAGTCCAGGCTTTATGTTTTCTCCATCCTGTTTTATCTCTCAGAGTTTTGTGTGTTGACAAAGCTTAACCGCCTTCGTTCTTTATCTTCTGCTTAGCTCGCATTAAGAGTGTAGCCTCTTTCTTTTCACTCTCGGCTCAGTAGAAAGATACAGGGGCCATCATATTTATGGCTTGGAGATGGGAGAGGCACAGAAATGACCTGAGGCGATCACAAAAGATGGACCGAGCTGTTTAGATTAGATGGAGGTATTTAATAAGAAAATGTAGTGTGCTGCACATATAGCACAGTACTATGAGAGGGAAGAGAAAATGCTTCAATATGTATGTATAGTTTATATAATATCTGTGAATTCACCATGTTTCCTTTTGTCTTTATGCGTCTGTCCTTCAAGAGTCCCCTCTATTTATGACTTGTTGCTGCAAATGGAAAGGTTGTGCGTTGGCAGCACCAAGTGGCAATTTGACAGAACTGTCTTTCTCAGTATATCTTTTCCTTACAGTGACATACACATTTTGAGTTCCTGCTAGAGAG